TTTTGTCTGGGGTAAATGCCGGGAGTGTCTCCAAAATTATAATAGTTCCCGGAGCATAATATTTGAGTGCCACCAAAAATCTTGGAAGTTCTTTGTACGATTCCTCCCAATTACCGTACACAGGTTCAACTGCCTTAGTCCTCTTGATCCATGCCTTCCTGTAAAAGGGACTATAATTGAATCTCGTAGCGATATGAGAAATAATTGTACTCACCTTTAATGATGGATCCTTGCTAATAAGAGGCAAGATTTCTTGACATATTAGTTGAGAACTAAGTTTCCAATGATCCTGCGTCAGAACGATGGTGATGCAAGTGTGGAGTGGATCAATGGTACATATTTCCCATGAATCACTTCTCTTCCTCTAAGATGCAGTTAACCGAAAAGGGAAAATTGGTTTTTGATGACATAAAATAACGTACCTCCCTGAATTATTTCGATCTATACTGAAGTCAACTAAAATTTCCATGTGGTATTTTTTGATAACCCTAATACATTATTCTTTTGTATGAAATCTGTCTCCAACTTTCAAGGGCCCTTCAGTCTGCATATAAGGATTGTGAAAGATATATGAGACTGGTCCATCTTCCCCCAAGTTCAAGTTCGTCATGTGAAACTGATGGTCGTACGCATGACTCGTAGGTACAAGTTCATGCTCTTGATCTGCAGTGTCATCATTGACCATAAAATCAATCATTGCCTCATCATCTTCTTCTTGGTAAATAACATCGACTTCGGGATGGTTGTCCTCGTCAGATTCATCCTATTCTTCAAAGTCTTGAGAAGGATCTACCACCTGAGATTGATCTGGCTGTTGTAATAAAACATATAGCTCAATCTCATTGAACCTGAATTGTTCATGAGTTCGAAACATGTTTCGAACATCATCATTGTCGCGCACCTTTAGTTGATAAAATCTGACTTGGTTATTGTCAAATAGAAATGGGGACCTGTAAAGAATTTGGTAAACTGGACCACACAGCAATTTGGCTTCTAGTCTATCTTTGAAGCATGCAAAACTTGATTTCTTATTTGTCCGAAAGAGGATAAAATTGGTATTACATAAATTAAAACCGAAGCTATCGTAGTTGAACGTCTCACTACTAATATGGGAAATAATAGTATAATTTTGTGAATGATCCATGTTGTCGAGGTATGTTTTTATGAGTTATGGATGTATACTAGTAATGCACCCTACACAGATGATTAAATAGACTGATGAAAGTATGAGATGTCCTCTATATTTTGCATGCATGCGCCACCTAGGGTGGCTTATCCTCTTCTTTTTTACATGCATACGTCACCTAGGATGGCTTGTCCTCTTCTTTTTACATGCATGTGCCACCTAGGTTGGCTTGTCATTGAACAACAAAACTGCATGCATGTCATCTGATCTCTGCCACGCCGCGGGTTTGCATGCCTGCAAAAAGCAACAAGCTATGTTGAATGTCGCCGTGTATCAAACAAGTGCATATGCCATCTAGTGTGGCACCTATGTATATTAAACAAGAGCATGCGCCACCTAGTGTGATGCCTATGTGTATCTCTTGCATGCAAAGTATTGTCACGTGAATGCACAGTGTTCCTTAAGATTTTTCTATAAATACATATAACATTCCCCTTATATGTTCATCACAATCATAACTCACACACTATTTCTTTCTTGAAACATCAACAACAATACAAGAGTAATCAAGAAAAAATGTCTCTCTTGACCATGGGTGATCAATATAGTGTAACTCTCAACAACATTGAAACTTGTATAAGTGTATTTTCCTCAATACCTATTTTTGTCGACAAATTTTATTTCCATAATTCTTATGATTCTTATACGTGAATCTTGTATTTCTTATATGTAATTCATGTTTTTAATAGGATGTTAAAAGATTTCGTTGCCGTGTCCATGAGTATGTCCCTTACGATGTTCAAATTGAACCGTACTTACGACATGCCAGTTTTGGTTCGTTACTCAACATAGTCAATTACCATGTTGACTATAAAATTATTCTCGCATTGGTGGAGAGATGGAGACCCGAAACTCACACCTTTCATCTTCCATGTGGTAGATGTACAGTCACACTAGAGGACGTGAACATGTTATTCGGTCTACCGATTGATGGTAAGGCTGTCAATGGTCGAGTAAACCAAAACAACACCATACGCGAGGAACTTTTGGGAGTCTCTTTATTTGAACAAGGGTCTAGAGGCCAAGGTATTAATCTTCGTCTTCTTAGAGAATATCATAGTAGTCGCATAATAACTGAAAACTCTACCGAGCAAGAAAAAATTGTAAAAGCTCGGTGTTACATAATGATATTATTTGACCACTTTTTATTTCCTGAAACAACGGGTAATACTGTTAATATCATGTATTTACTCTTGTTAAGACAGTTTGATAAAATAAACACATATAGTTGGGGCTCTGCTGTTTTGACCCATCTGTATAGTTCCTTGTGTAAAAATGCATCAAACGATAATTGTTCTTTCTATTCATGCGCCTTTTTGCTCTAGACATGGTGCTGGTCGAGAATGTCGACACTCGCCCCCCGCGCAACACAAGACTATTCGTCTTCCTCTTTACTATAAAGTAAGATTACGAAATCATAAATTTTACATACTATATACTGTAACCAACATGTATTAATTTATTATTCATTTTTTCTATGTAGGTGGTCTGTTTCCGGGATGAATTACAACAAATCCCCTAGAAACACAATAGTAGTCTACCGAAATCTTATTGATCATGTTGAAGCCGAAGAGGTATTAAACTTACATATTTTATACAACGCTTTCAATAGGTTAATTAAGTTTAATATTTTATATAAATTTTTATCCTCTACAGTTTGTATTGAGGCCGTATAAGGATCTCGACCATGAGTTTAACCCAACTGATGCTGAAGTTTGGACTGCAAAAACAACACTCACCAGGTTCACTACTGTAGAGATGCACCACAGTGATCGTGTGAAGCTACAGTTTGACATGCAATAGGGTATCCCATATCCGCTACATGTTTGGGACAATGGCATCTACTCAGAGTTGACGACCAATGGGGATTTAACGATTTGAGAGACTTCGCTAAAAATCAATGTCGTTAATAGAGGCATCATGAATTGGTCCTAAGGGAGCCGATTTTGCAAGATGACTTAAAACCGACTCTCCAATATTTGAGATGGTACACACCGGTTTCAACAAATTTGTTTCTGTCTCAAGAGACATATTTGACCGACCCACGCCAAAGAGCTGCAACATACGCCTAACAACAACCCCAACAACCAACCCCTCAACCATACCAAACCCAACAACCAACCCCTCAACAATACCAAACCCAACCACAATGTCAACCCACTCAAACCCAACAACCATACACCACCACATTCAACCAAACCCGTCATTAATTCACGCCACACACACAAACACAATACCAAGAGCATGACCCGACTCACCACCAACAATACGCACCATCCTCATCCTACCACAACATCCAAGACACATATGATACATCTCCTTCCTACCATGCATCCAACCTACATACAGTCAAACATCACACCATCAAAGTACCCAACCATCATACAAATTTCATACACCACAAGAACCGTTGCTTCGTTTCCATCACGATTTAACATCCCAATACTATCAACCACCCCACCCACACATATCTCAACCGATAAGACCAAACTTCAACAACATGGGCACCGATCTCTTTGAAAGCACAACACAGTGGGATGAAATGATCGATGAGATGTATGATCCTGATGTACCAAGACTATCACATCAAGCACCTCATAATCAAGCAAGTCAGAATAGATCCCAAACACCTCAGGAAAATCAACAAAGAGGAGTGAGACAAGGGGTGAGGCAAAGGCAGAGCCGTTTATGTCATACTGGGACCCGCTTAAGTTGAGGGGGCATAAAAAAAAGTATCCATACGTTGTGTAATATAAAATATTTTTAATTACTTTTATTTTTATTTAAAAAAAATAAATAAATAACACTATCAAGTCAAAGAAGATGACACATTCTCTTTGCCAATACATGCATGCGCCACACTGCATAACTTTACAGAGGAGGACAAGTCATGCAGTGTGGCGCATACTCTCTAAAAAACATGTATGCGCCACACAGAATGACTACTCCTTTATGTGGCGAATTTTTTATATTTGAAAAGTGGTTAATTTAATAAAATTTTTGAAAATATAATTATTTGAGAATTTTTTTAAAAAAAAATTATTATTTAAAAAAATTCAAAAAAAGAAGTCATGATGACTTGTGTAATAAGAGTTTGAAAATATAAAAACTATAAAATAAGATTCCATTGAAAAAATAAACTTTATTTTTAAAAAAATTAATACACAATTTACAAAATAAAATTTTAATTTTTTTATTTTGTAAATTATGCATAATTTTTTATTTTTTTTTTTGTAAATTGTGCTAATTTTTAACTTTTATAAATTTTTAGCATTATTTTTTTGAGTGTTGGAAAATATTGTTTAAAAAAGGATTTAGGATTTAAGGTTAACTTGCACTAATTTTACAAAATAAAAATTTAATTCTTTTTTAATTTTTTAAAAAATAACGATAACTTATGCTAATTTATAAAATAAAATTACAAGTTAATTTTTTTTTTTTATAATTTCATTGGAGTACATTTAATTTTTAACTTGTGTCATTATTGCATAAATTAGCATTTTCCAGAAAAAAAAAGAAAGAAGAGATAATCCAACTTACCGTTATTATGAAAATGTTAAATTAATCTCAAGTATCTTAAGAGTATGGTTTAATAATTTGATAAAAATTTTCCCGGCATTCGTTAATGGTGGGGTAGCCTTTGAGAGGAACGAGGTTAGTCTCAAACACCATTCTCGGAAACCAAATATTTTCCAACACTTAAACTCTGTTCACACTCTCTCTCTCTCTCTCTCTCTCTCTTCGCCATTCGCCACTGTCACTGGTTTTCCTCACTCTCTCTCCACTTTCATGTTCCTCACTCTCTCACTCCATAATGCTTACTATTCACCGGCCACTTCATTTTTCTTTCCTTCTCACATTTTTCTTCTTACTCTTCCACTCACACTTCACTTCAGGTAATAACATCTCACCAACACTTCTCTTTTTCCTTTCACTACAAACTTTTTCATTATTTCTTCTTCTTTTCTTTTCCAGGGAAACAACACGATGCAAACGCTGTAACATTTTCTCGGTATGATGCACTTGCTGCTGAACCTGAACCTCAACCTGTACCATATGGAAACTCACCACTTCCTTTAGCTGCTGAGAGAACCAGAAGAAAAGATCCTCTAGATGGCTTCAATGTCTACACAAATGGATGGAATATCAGTGACCACCATTATTGGGCTGTAACTTCATTCAACCCTTACTCCTTTTGTTCTTTTTTGTGGTTTCAACTTTTGTTGTATGAAAATAGTTAGGTTTCGTTAATTATCACTGTTAATGTCCCGTTAAGTAACCTCGCTTCGTAGCTGTGCAGAGACATCAGATATGAGGTTGTGGGTTTAAACCGCGACATCTTACTTGTTCACCGCTAACCATTAGGCTATTTGACCCCAAAAAAACCATTTGAGCTTAATTTATTTGACTTTGCTAAAACTATAGGCTTAATTGACTGAATTTGTTTTCTTCTTTTTTTTCATTGAATGCAGTCAGTGGCATATACAGCAGTTCCTGTATTCAGCATTGCAGCAATCTGGTTCATAGGCTTTGGCTTTTGTTTATTACTTCTCATTGTTTGTTATTTCTGTCGTAAAAATGAGCCGTATGGTTATTCTCCAACATGCTACACACTTTCTCTTATTCTTCTCATATTGCTCACAATTACAACAATGTATGTACACATCTCTCCCTTTGTTTTATTGATTTCAGATTTAGTTTAATTTGCATAAGAAATTATGAGTCTATCTATGTTAACAGGATTGGATGTGCGGTTCTTTATTTTGGCCAAGGTAGTTTTCATCGCAGCACGACATCAACATTGCAGTATGTGGTATATCAAGCCGATTCTACAGTGGATAAACTAAGGAATGTTTCTGATTTCCTTGCTCAAGCTAAGCAGGTTGGAATCGACCGAGTTTTTCTCCCTGTGAATGTTCAAACTGATATCGATGAGGCAGAAACAGATATCAATGCTTCTGCTGTCACAATTTCTGATAAAACAAAGGAGAATTCAGACAACATTCAAGATCTATTAGATTCTGTGTAATGGTTTATAATTGATTAACTATTAGCTTTCAGCTTCGTATACTTTTTCTTTTCGATTCTTCTCTATAAAATAAATATTTTGAGCCTGACACAGGAGGATGGCGCTCATCATTATAACCGTGGTTATGCTTGTTTTGACGTTTCTTGGATTTCGTAAGTTTTTATGTTCAAGCTTATATGCATAATATCTTATTGATATTGAGGTATTCATTTTTTTCCTGACTTGTTACTATACAGTGTTCTCAATTTTCGGAATGCAGGTCCTTGTGTATATGTAAGTTATATAGTACTTTGGTGATTCTTTGCTAGTGACTATAACTCTTTTATCATTACATTTTCTCACCAAAAGCTTTGACATAAATAATTGCAGCTTGGTAATCGCAGGATGGTTTCTTGTTACTGGCACCCTTATATTATGTGGCTTGTTCCTTATTCTCCACAAGTAAGTTTCCACAAAATAGTAAAAATCTGAATTCAATGGTTTTGCCATATAGCTTTATAAGTATGCTGCTTATATACATACAACAATGTGGTAACAAAGAATTGTATCTATTTGAGAAATTATGTCAAATTGTAATGTTTAATACGCGCGTGCTACTTTTGATAGTGTGACAGCGGATACATGTGTAGCCATGAATGAGTGGATCCAATATCCTACTGCGAATACAGCTCTAGATGACATTCTGCCCTGTGTGGACAACGCCACTGCTCAAGTAACTTTGTTAAGAAGCAAAGAAGTGACTTCTGAACTAGTAAACTTGGTGAATCAAGTTATTACCAATGTTTCTAACATCAACTTTGCGCCCAATTTCACGCCATTGTATTACAATCAATCTGGTCCCTTGATGCCACTTCTCTGCGATCCGTTTCATCCTGACATGACAGATAGACAATGTGACTCTGGTGAAGTGAACCTAAGCAATGCAACACAGGTACATTAATTGAATTTAATCTTCATAAACATTGGTTTGTGTAAACCATGTGAAGGTTGTTAATTAGTTTCGGAATGATGCAGGTATATGGAACTTCTGTGTGCCAGGTTTCACCGTCTGAGATATGCATGACTCAAGGGCGTTTAACCCCGACGTTCTATAACCAAATATCTGCCGGAATAAACGTTGGTAACGCATTATATACGTATGCACCTTCCCTTGTGGAGCTACAGGACTGCACATTCGTTCGAGAAACATTCACTGATATATACAATGATCATTGTCCTGGTCTACGACGTTACAGTAGATGGATTTATGTTGGATTAGTAATGGTCTCTTTTGCTGTGATGTTCTCATTGATCTGCTGGGTTGTGTATGGAAGAGAACGGAGACATCGTCTATATAGAAAAGAGTCTAAAAATTTAAGAATAACCACACCTGCACCAAGAAATGCACCTGCACCTGCACCAACAAATGCTCTGGCACTATATTCCTGAAGGAGACAAGGATATGTATTAAGTAATCACATTGAAAATTGATGTTTTTAACTATGTTTAGACTAGTTTTTCAGTGTTGGTGCATAATGTTGTAGCATATTTGTAATGACAATAGTAAGAGTTTTTATCTCAATGAAAAAAAAGTGGTTATTTCATAAGGGAACGCGGACAAGGAATGACTTATGACTTACTAGTATGAGACACAAGATAAAACAGAATAAATTAAGTAGCTTCCAATTTGTAGTACTTTGGTGGACCTCAAATTGAATGCGTTAGATTTGGAATTTAATCCCCTGCAGTCACCTCTCTTTATCTCTAAATTAAAGACATGATGCATTGATCAACACATTTAATGGCTACAATGGCTGGTAGATACATGACTGCTGTGGATCATGGTCTGTTAGATTTTGGGCATTTTTTTTCTCTCATTTTTTTCAGTAAGAACGAGCTAAAAAATTGTCTCAGATGTAAAATTTCCGTACGCGAAAAGTTTTACTAATTTTTTTTGTTGAGAAAATAGATGTATAAAATAATTTTACATTATCAATTAATAAATATTTTGTATTTTATCAAATTATTTTATATTTTAAAATTATTTAAATGATATGGTAAATTATTGATTTATTTTACACTGTTTGTGTATGTCCATTAAACACATTTTTAAAAAAATCTAGAAATAAAGAAACAAAAAAAAAAGATTTTTAAATTTTTTGAAATAACAGTATATTATTGACATTTTGGAAAAATGATGTATCTTATTCCTACATGTATCTTATTAGTATTTTTGAAATTATATATATATATATATATATATATATATATATATATATATATATATATATATATATATATATATATATATATATATATATATATATATATATATATATATATATATATATATATATATATATATATATATATATATATATATATATTTATTGATAATTTAAAAAATACTAATAAAAATATACGTAAAATATTATATTTTTCGAAAGTACCAAAGCAGGATATTATATTTTTTTAAAATACAGAAAAAAATTATATTTTATCGAATATTTTAAAAATGTCCAATAAAATAATATAGTATGAAAAATTGAATATAAGTTCAAAATTGTCTATATAAATGTATAAATTTAATAGGAAAAAAACACTAACTTATAAATATTCAATAGAAACATTAAAAAAAGCGGTAAAATTTCAATATTTTTTAAAATCATCAAAAAATAATAATTTAAATAATGAAAATTGTGCGAGATTATGATAAAAAAATTACTATTATAGTGAGGTACCAAACATAGGTAAATGACTACAATATAAAATTATTCGAATTTCGCAATCTATTTTTAGAAAGCATTTCCATGTTGTAAAATGATTATCGTTTTAATAAATAAAATTTATTTTAAAATAATTATTATTTTCATTTTTCAATAAAATAATGATTTATTTATTTTTCAATTGTGCTTTTATTTTTTAGTCTTAACACTATTTCCAATACATTAATAAGTGCATGTTTGGTTTTGTAGTTGTTTAGTTATTGACTTGCATTTTTGGTAAAACCCAAGTGTGTATGTGTGAATGTCATGACTGATGTCATAACATTCTAGTTTAGTTGTACTGATTCATTAGGTACCTTTGAAGAAAAATATTGTCATTCAGGTACTGATGTTTATAAGTGTGTATCTGAGCATTTTGCAAAATGATCACATTTTCCTAAATCAGTAGACAGGTTTTCTCAGATGTCATAACAGATGTTAAGACATCCTGTTCTGAACTAACAGGTTTTCAGTTTGGTTAATTCTGAGTTTTTTCAGGAAAATGACTCAGTCTTTCCAGAACAGAATCCTGCGTTTTCTTTGGGTTAACCTAGCTCAACCCTAACCTGGTTAATAGAGTTCTATGACATAGTCTTAAGGTCAAACGGAATTAACCCTAGGTTTTTGTGGAAACCCTAACTGAAGTTGCAGCTGCTATATATTCAACAGAGCTGCTATTTTGCAAGTAATCCCTTTTTGGTCAGAAGATCATTTGTAAACTGTATAGGTTTTATTATTGTACTCCAAGCAATTATCATTGTGATAAGTGACTTGGAATAGGTTTTTTAATTGTAAGGGTTGTGTAGCACTCAAAGCTTTGAAGCAAGAGTGTTTGAATGTTTCTTGACTAAAGATGTGAAGCAGAGTCAAGTTAAGTGTGTGTATCACTCAAAGCTGTGAAGCAAGAGTGGTTGTGTTGCTTGATTAAAAAGCTGTGAAGCTTAATCAAGTGTATGTTTTTGAAGAGTGTCTTCATCAATTCATTAGTCAAATTGTTTTATGTATCACTGCTGTGATTGAGGGGGAGTGAGTAGGAACTCAGGTTTAAGTTGTACTTAGATTGAAATTGTATTGGGTAGGTCTTAAGTGAAGGAGATAAACTGGTTGGTTTATTCCTGAATTAACATATCTTATAGTGGATTTCCTCTCTGGCTTGGTAGCCCCCAGAGTAGGTGTTGTTGCACACTGAACTGGGTAAACAATTGACTGTGTTCTTTACTGTTTTTGTATTTACTGTCTTATAGAAAGTCAGATACGGTGTCATAACATTAAACGTGACATTGAGTATCTGCAGCCAGAATTTCAATTGGCATCAGAGCAGGCACCCTGCCTGTATTACTGGGTGAGATCTAGGGATATCACTTTCTGGCACTATGGACAAAGAAGGAGTTTTTGGAAATAGACCACCCATTCTGGATGGAACTAATTATGACTACTGGAAACCTCGTATGATTGCCTTCTTAAAATCTCTGGACAAAAAGGCTTGGAGAGCTGCTGACAAAGGATGGATCCATCCCACCATAACTGAGAAAGATGGGACAATCAGTCTGAAGCCTGAGGAAGATTGGAGTAAAGAAGAAGATGAGTTAGCCCTGGAAATTCCAAAGCTTTAAATGCCTTGTTCAATGGAATTGATAGAAACACTTTCAGACTAGTACATCAATATGAACTGGCCAAGGAAGTTTGGGACACTCTCAAAACTACTCATGAGGGCACTTCCAAAGTAAAAATGTCAAGGCTTCAGATGTTGACTACCAAGTTTGAGAATCTAAAAATGATGGAAGATGAAACCATTCATGAGTTTCACATGAACATCTTGGAGATTGCCAACACCTCAGGAGCACTGGGAGAAAAGATGTCAAAAGAAAAACTGGTGAGAAAGATTCTCAGATCCTTGCCTAAAAGATTTGCAATGAAGGTAACTGCCATAGAGGAAGCCCAGGACATCAACAAGTTGAAAGTGGATGAACTTATTGGGTCTCTTCAGACTTTTGAGATGGGGATCACTGATAATGGTGACAAGAAGAACAAGAGCATAGCACTTGTGTCCAACACTGATGTTGAAGAAAATATTTCAGAAGCTATAGCCATGCTTGGAAGACAGTTCAACAAACTCATCAAAAGAATAGATCCAAAGTCAAGGTCTAATGTCCATAACATTCCCTCTAACATTGACAGTTCCAGCAGAAGACCAAGGTCAGAAGAGAAGGGAAATCAAGGCAGAGGAATTCAATGCCATGGTTGTGAAGGATATGGGCATATTCGAGCTGAATGTCCTACCTTTCTTAAGAAACAAAAGAAAGGAATGACTGTTACTTGGTCTGACTGTGATTCAGAAAGTAATTCTGAAGAAGAATCTGCCAAACTAGTTACTGCTTTAACTGGTGTTTGTACCTCTGAAAGTGACATCAGTGATGAAGAGGTGACTTTTGAAGAACTGGCTGATACTTACAAGAAATGTATCAGAAGTACTGAAGTCTGTGTGCAGAATGAGAAACAATCAAAACTCATCATAAAGCTGGAGGCTGAAAAAAGGGCAAACCTTGAAACTATAAGTCATCTAGAAGGAGAAGTTCAATTGCTGAACTCACAACTGAATCAAATGACCAAATCTGTCAAGATGCTGACAAATGGAACAGACAAATTGGAAGAGATCCTTCAGGTTGGACAAAATGTGGGAAATAAATCTGGACTAGGATTTATGGAAGCAAAGAAATCTGGTACAGATAAGAAGATCAGGCCTGATAAGAAAATGTCAAAACAGATGTCTCAACACAACTCTCAACATCAGGAACAAAGACATATGAAGAAAAGGTACCAAAGATGGAGATGTCATCATTGTGGGAGATATGGCCACATAAAGCCCATCTGCTTCAGATTGCATGGATACCCTAATCAGAACTCAGGTGTCAAACCTAAGTCTAAAAAGGTACCACATGCTCCTGAATGGAAGAAAAAGGTTACTGCCCTGATAGCCCACACTTCCCTGAGGGTCTCTGCAAAGGAAGACTGGTACTTTGACAGTGGATGTTCCAGACACATGACTGGAATCAAGAACCTCCTCAATAATGTTAAGCCTCACACCACCAGTTTTGTGACCTTTGGAGATGGTGCTAAAGGTGAAATCAAAGGAGTTGGTGATTTGGACTGCCCTGGAGTTCCAAGTCTGAATGAAGTACTGCTGGTAAAAGGGCTGACTGCTAATCTCATTAGTATCAGTCAATTGTGTGATCTAGGATTCAAGGTCAATTTCTCAAAATCTGAATGTCTTGTAATCAATGACAAACAAGAAATTGTAATGAAAGGAGTCAGATCTAAAGACAACTGTTACTTGTGGGAGCCTGAGAACACTAATTTCTCCTCTGTGTGTTCCATTGCAAAAGAAGAAAAAGAGGTGAAACTGTGGCACCAAAAACTTGGCCATCTTCATCTAAGAGGTATGAAGAGGATTATCTCCTTGGAGGCAGTCAAAGGGATTCCAAGACTGCAAATTGATGAAGAAAGAGTTTGTGGTGAATGTCAGGTTGGTAAGCAGACTAGGATGTCACATCCAAAGTCAAGACATCTGACCACCTCTAAGGTTCTAGAACTTCTTCATATGGATCTGATGGGACCAATGCAAGTAGAGAGTCTTGGTGGAAAAAGATATGCCTATGTGGTTGTGGATGATTTTTCCAGATTCAC